TCCACTCACCTCGGCCTCCCAAAGTGCTGGGATTACAGGCTGAGCCACCGAGCCCGGCGACTTCTCATTCTTAAAGTGGGGATAAAAAAATCGCCGGGGGTTGATGGGAAGAAAGATGAAATCATCGTGAAATTCGAGAATACTAGGCCTCCCGCCGGTGTCCTTTGCTGAGAACCTGCCCACGACGGCTGGGGACTGTGACTGCAGCGGTGACGCCTGCAAACGAAGTCCCTGTCTTTATGAAACTGACATTGTCAGTGGGAAGAAGATGGAAAGGATAGCCAAGGAATTTGATAAATTTCTTTCTGATTAGATTTTGTTTGTTTTTTTTTTTTGAGTTGGAGTCTCACTCTGTTGCCCTGGCTGGAGGGCAGTGGCACGCTCACGGCCACCCCAGCCTCGACCTGCTGGGCTCAGGCGACCCTTCCATTTCAGCCTTCCAACTAGCTAAAACTACAGGCACGTGCCACCACACCCGGCTAATTTTTTGATTTATTGCGGAGATGAAGTCTCACCAAGTTGCCCAAGCTGGTCTCGAACCCCTGGACTCAGTCCTCTTGACTCAACCTCCCTAAGTGCTGGGATTACAAGCTTGAGCCACTGTACCCAGCATGGGGTAGCTTTTTCTTTGTGGTGGCTACCATGACTGTGAGCCTGTCTCCTGTATGTATTTTGGTTCTTTGCTTTGGTCAGTCCAGGGATTCACTATCCATCATGCCAGCCCCCGTGACTTGTCACTTTCAACCTGGGTTCCGGACCCAAAGACAAAACATGGCCTCTCATGTGATTGTACACATTGTGGCCAGCCTTTCCTCTACATCACTCAGGGGTCCATGGCCTTCAGGGGTGAATACTTTTATTTCTGTTTGTTTACAAGACAGCAGTAGAAAAGTCAGTACTTCCTTGTCTGCTGCTGTGTTGCCCTGTTTTTGTTTGTTTTTTTTTTTTTTGAGTTGGAGTCTCATTCTGTTGTCTAGGCTGGAGTGCAGTGGCACGCTTACGGCCACCACCAAGGCCTTGACTTGCTGGGCTCAGGCAATCCTTCCGCCTCAGCCTTCCAAGTAGATGGAACCACAGGCGTGCACCACCACACCTGGCTAATTTTTTGATTTATTGCAGAGACGAAGTCTTGCCAATTTGCCCAGGCTGGTCTGGAACCCCTGGACTCGCAACCCTCTCGCCTGGGCCTCAAAAGTGCTGGGATTACAGGTGTGAGCCAGCGCGCCCTGCTAATAGTGGTGTTTTCAAGCTACTGTGCAGGATCGGAGAGGAATTGTTCAGGATTTTTTGTTTGGGGGTTCAGGTTGGGGGAGGGACTGAGAGCGCAGCTCAGCATGGACAAGACAGCATGTGAAACACATAGGATGCTCTCGCAACCTTTCTTGCTAGTGACAAGAAAACTGCAGGTCTAATTCAAGCAAAAAAGATCTCGATTTGCCAACTGTATTTTCCCACCAAGATGTACCACAGGTGTTTCCCACAGGATCATTTTGTTTTTGGAGTGGGGCGAGATTGGGGGTTAGCAGATGTGTATCTTGCCTCTGCTTCTATATCTGGAGATGACACCATCAGCCAGCTAGCCAGTTAATAACCTCACCATTATCTTTCCCTACTGTACAAAATTGGACCCTAGGTCTTCTTTTTTATTTTATTTTATTTTATTTGAGTCAGAGTCTCACTCCGTCGCCCAGACTGGAGTGCAGTGGCCGCTCCTGGCCACCGCAGCCTTGACCTGCTGGGTTCCAGCGATCCTTCCAAG